GCCAATAAAAGCTGCTTAAGTAGTAGAGAAGCAATGAGAAATTTGAGAAGGAAAACCTAGGCTTTATAATAAATATATAAATTATGCCCCATGTTCATTAAGGTTAAGATACGCCACCTTCCTAAACAAGACATAAAAACAGAAACCATTACAAGTAAACACACCACACACACACACACACACACACACACACACACACAGAGAGAGAGAGAGAGAGAGAGAGAGAGAGCCTATTTCCAGAATTTAAAGCATCTTTAAACCAGTTTTAAAAGGCAACATAGAGATAATTCACATAAGAGCTTCATATACCCATTAAAAACACCTTAAAAGATACTCAGCCTTACCAGTTACTAAGAGACTTCAAAAAATTCAGTAAAATCTACACTTCATGCTGTTAACTAGATAAATAAATATGAATAGATAAATGTTAGAATATACAGTTATATATGATGATACATATCCTCACATGTGCAAAATATGTCCAATCTGTGCAAAGACATGGTATTAAAAACCCTCAGTGGGTTTCAAACTTTTAAAAGTCTAAAGGCAATTTATAACCATTTTTCTATATTTGAAATGTGCTTATGACAGAACGTGGTAGCATACCTATAGTTTCAGCACTTTGGAAGCTGAGGAGCAAGGTTGCCACAAGTTTGGTAGTAAGTGCCAGACTGCCTAGATCTACATAGCAAGACACTGACACAAACAAAACAAAAACATTCTGAATAAACTAAAATGCACATATAGATTTAGGTGTTAGGGTCCTATAAATCTACTTTATAGGAATGTCAGCTTTCTAAAGTGTTGGTTATCATTGTGTTTATAAAGTCTGAGAACTTTGTTTTCACCCACCTCTGTAAAAGCCTTGACAAAGTATCCCACAGCCTTTACAGGGGTACTGAATGGGTATGAAGTCTTCTAAACATTGGGGTCCCAGTGAACCATCAGTTTTTAATCTGTAAACAACTCTTCAGAAAGGTTTGGCTTCATTTGACAGTGTGCAGAGCTTGCACAATGAGAGACCCTAGCATAAGGTGTCTGTGCATTAAAGATAATGGCTGGCAATCATTAATTATCACAACTGCCCAAAGCAGCAGTCCCAGTTAGAGGAAATAGATGCTGGCTGAAAGATTAACAAGTCAGAGGCTGATCAAAGGCCAAGAAGGACTTAAATATATGAATAGGATATCAACAGGGGCTTTCAAAAATTCCAGTGTACTCTGGAAAGCCATGTGTATGAGCAGTATTGTGTTCGTGTCTACAAAAGGCTGGAGACATGGGCGTCTCTGTGTGAGCAGGAATGAAGGCTACAACAAAGTTACTTACAAGCTGCCTGCTGGAATATAATATAGTATAATATTATGAATCCCAACACCTAAAGAACCCTGGTAAAGGCTGAGAAGTGACTCAAGATATGTAAGGAAAGGAAATCTTGTCTGTTTATAGACCAGTAAAGTGACCAAGCAGAGATTTCAGCGACTGCACACAGTGGAGATACAGCAACAAATAGCAAGCTAAGTGAATTGAGGAGGTGAAGTGGCATGGGGTCTGATTTCCAGAGTTGCCACATTATATTATATCTAGTTGTTAATAGAAATTGTAAGTCGGGCAGAATATAAAACAGGAATGTGGCTCATACCTGGATAAAAGCAGTCAGTCAAGACTATCTCTGAGTAAATGCCACATTAGACCTTACTACTATAAATGTGTTTAGAAAACCAACCAAAGGAAAGCATTTGTAAGGACTAAAGGAATGGAAACAATGTCTCGGCAAAGAAAGAACATCAGTAAATCAAAGTTTTTAAAGAATTAAATGTTTAGAAGTTGAAAAATATGACAACTAGAATGGAATGTTTACTTACTAAATTCAATATCGGATTTGTGGTGACAGAGCACAGACTCAGAAGTTGAATGTGTGGTCAATTGAAAGTGTCTACTTGGAGGAAGAGAAGACAAATGTGAAGATAAATTATCAGAATTCAAAACCCTACAGAGCTGCATTAACAGTAACAACATACAAGCAGTGGGTACCCAGAGAAAAGTAAGAGAATGAAAGGCTGAGTGTTTGATAACATGACAAATACTCCATAACTTTATAGAAAGCCTTCATCTGTATATTGAACTAGGTCACTTAATGCACTCCAAGTAGCTAGACACATCACACTCAGCTATCTATAGGAAAAGGTATAGCTCAGGTGAAAGAGCCCTTGCTGAGAGTGCACAAAATCCTAGGTTTGATTGCAGCACCAAATAAACCTGGCTTGTGCAGTACCATCACTCAGTAGGTGGAAGCAGGAGAACCAAAAGTTCAAAGTCATCCTTGGGCATAGACCAAGTTCACTACCAACCTAGGCCAAATGCGGTCCTGTCTCAAAAAGGAAAATGGACTAGATTTACATGCAGGAGTTGTATTTATAAGTGGAAGAAAACCATCATGACCTGTAGGTAGTGGTTTCTTAGGTCTGAGCACAGGCAACAAAAAAAAAAAAAAAAAAAAAAAAAAAAAAAAATAGGCAGATGGGATTGCAGTTTCAAATGACAACATATAGATGGTGAAAACAAAAGAGAGGGAAATTTGCTTTCAAATCAGACATCTGATGAAGGACTTGTACTTGGAAAGAACTCAACAATAGAAAGGCACATACTTCAATTTCTAAAGAATATAAACAATTTGAAAAATATTTCTCCAAAGAATATATGCCTTTAAAAAATACTCCAATCAGAATCGGAATGAGATACTGTTTTGTACCCAGTAAGAGAGATCCAATAAAAAGAGAGCCACTAAGTACAGATAAGGATATGGAAAAATTGGAAACTTGCTACAAGCTAATTGAAGAATAAAACAGTACAGCTTATTGTAGGGTGGATTTTGTGAGGCTTCTTACCAGGCTAAGGTTACCTGATATGGCCAGTGAGAAATGAATCTTGACCACACACAAGATGGAGGTGTCACAGCAAGATTGAGGCTGTGACAAGTTAATCCAAGAAATCAGGATCAATACAGTGACACTTGCCAGGATACAAGGAGGTGTGCAAACTATGCAGGATATGCAAGGTTAAGGTTTGTCTAAGGCAAATAGTCCGGCCACATTTCTGTGTGCTTGGTTGGTGTCCAGGGAGTACAGAGAATCATACTGTGGCCTGATGCTTTACTGTCTGGGGGCACACCTTGGTTTCTCAGGGACTGAAAGGTGGTGCCCCAGGGGCCGTGGACTCTATCCTGAAGATCCTGTGACTCAACACCTCACAAGACAACTAGACCAGGCCAGCTCCCTGCATGGTGGCATATGCTTGGAATGTTAGCATTCTGGTTCATAAGACTGGACTACATCATGACTTTAAGGACAGTATGGACCAAATAGGGAAACACTGACTTGGGAGAAGAGATAAGGGAAAGGGTTGGGGGTGGGTATGATTTTAACAAGAAATGGATAGGTCCCTGGATCTTTTCCATCCAGATAGATCCTAGTCTACAGGTTATTGCCATAAACAACCCAATGAAGTTAAGGCCTAAAGCCCTGGAAGTTGGTAGCAGACAAAGGAGGGAAGGCAGGTAAGGTAGGGCAGAATGTTCCTGCTAATGTTCCTGTTATAGACCTAAGGTCAGCACAAGATGCTTCTAGGACCATGGGGATCTTTATTCCCTGCCTTTTCTAGCTCAAAGAACCTTGTACTCAACTTGAAAGTACAGTATCACTCATTACAGACCTTTGCTGGGGTGTTTATTGGGAAAACAGTCCTGCAAGAAGAAAGAGGATTGGGCAGAAGAGGTGGTGTTAAAGAATAATGCAGACCTTACAGAAGTCCAGGGTTTCCTGGGAGAGGACCTCTGGGTGGAAACGGGGAATTCCTCCTGCCAGGCACCACCTCAGGAAGAGCAGGCCCCATTCAAACCCTAAGCAGATCCCAAATAACCTGAGGAGGGGGAGCATCATCACTCCTCTTGGCTTACCATTCCTCTTGTCTGTAGGGCACACAAGCCAGTCAGAGATGGCACTGAGGGGAAGTCAGATGGGGGAGTCCTGAGTTGTTTACAAAAATAGATGATTGGTTGCCTAGATCGAACCAGATGAGGTCACTGCATGAACAGCTTGTATTCACTAGGTAAAGCATAGGGCACCTGGGCGTGTGATAGGCTGACCTTTAAAACCATTGACTGGATATTTTCCTGCCCTGCAGGTTTTTGCTTTAAAAGATGCTTGCTGTGGGACAATAAACAAGTTCCTGCTTAACTAGACTCCAACGGGATTCTGAGAGGCTGGGAGATGGGCCAGCAGCTCACTTACCCTTCCTCGGACACAGCTCAGCCTTCCATGGTTAGGTTAAGACCCTCCACTTGTCCCCAAGTTCTACTGTGTGTCCCTCACACCTGATAGAAAGGAGGCTGCAGAGGAAAAGAGCTGTTGTGAGATGAGGGACAGAAGACTCAGGTAGATAGCTACTAACTAGTCCTGCTATGACGCAGTAACTTTAGTACCTAGTGACCCAAGAGAGATGATTGCCTGCTGTATGAAGCATCTATCAATTAAGTACCTTATACTGTGCATCCCAGATGCCACCATTGTAGTCTGGGCACAGCCTAGTAAAAGGCACTGTGAGACAGCACCTAGGCCCATTGCCGGAGTCTGCAGTCCACAATTAGTAAAGGAAGAAGCTCTGAGAACTGCTGAAAGATTATTCATACAGAGTACAGTAACCAACCTCTGCTTCCTCAGTTAAGGAGTCACCCCACTGCTGACAGAAGATTCGGCTGTGTAACACTCATCTTGGGAAATTAGAGTCTTTTTATGTTTTTTAAAACATGCATGAACTATTGGTATATATAACATATAGAGAACTATACTTATACTGGTACTTCATTGTTTTAAAAATAGTATCTTTATGTTTAGCATTGTTAAACAGTAGCTTCATAACTGATTACCATTTTTATTAAAGCTAGTATATTCAGTGTCTTAGTGACACTCTGGTGTTTAATTATTGTTACTTAATTTTTCTTTCAGGGCAGAGTTCTAAAACCATCAGTTCATCCCCAAGCATTGAGAGTTTGCCAGGGGGAAGAGAATCCACTGGCTCCCCACCTTCATCTGCCACTAAAAAGGATTCCTTTTTCAGCAACATCGCACGTTCCCGTTCCCACAGCAAAACTATGGGCAGAAAAGAATCTGTAAGTGTTTAAGGACAGCTTGTTTCTCGTCTCGTCTCATCCAAGAGTGGTGCACATAAGAAAGCTCCTCATATACCCAGTTTGATGAAGTTTATTAAACTAGAACAAACTATTTTTTTAAAAGTATGTTAGTGTTATCATTCTAATTTAGTAATATTTTAAGACTGTGATCTCTGTAGCTGGGAGAACAGAAACATTAGTTCAGAATAAGTGGGATATTTTCTAAATCCTTCCTCTATCTTTTTATCGGTGCATGTCATATTTCAAGCTGTAGTCCTGACATTGCTTATCGCAGGCTCCGTTGTTGAGGAGGCAGAAGTACAAAAGGCTTAGTGGTGAATAGCACCTGCAAAAGAAAGAAGTGCTGTGATTGGACAGAACGGTGCCACCCACCCTCACTAGGCTCCTTCAGTTCTCTGTATGCTTCCCTGTTCAACTGTCTTTCTAAATCTTAATAAACAACATTTTGTTGGTGAGGGATTATGACACTTGAAAAAAAAACAAAACAAAATATTCTTTCTGTTTTAAAGTAGTAACCTGAAAAGTAAAATAACTTTGCTTTTTGTTTTTAAAAACTATATGAATCACATCTCTATTATGCTGAAGTTTTTTGTTGGTTGTTTGGTTTTAAAGATTAATTTATTTTTATTTTACATGTTTGAGTTTTTGTTTGCATTGCACGTAAGATCACTGTAGATGTGGCTGGTACCCACAGAGGTCTGCCAGATCCTCTGGAACTAGGGTGAAGCTACTCGTAAGCCACCGTGTAGGCACTGGGAACCAAACCTGGGTCCTCTGCAGGATCAGCAGCCAGTGCTGTTAACCCCTGAGCCATCTCTCCAGCATGTCTGTTATGGTCTTCTCATAGTCTGTATAAATCCTTTGTATATATCCTTGAAAGGGCATACATTCAAATTGTATAACTACTTTAATAATCTAGTCTTAATCTAAATTTTTTATTATCTTTCATTTTTGTGATTATAATATAATTACATCATTTCCCCCTTTCCTTTCCTCCTTCAAAATCTTCCCACATATCCCTCCTTGTTCTCTTTCAAATTTATGGCCTGCTTTTTCATTAATGGTTGTTACATATATACATGCATACATACATACATACATACATTCCTAAATGCATAAATACAACCTGCTCAGTCTATATGATGTTGCTTGTTACTTGCATATATGTTTTCAGGGGTGACCATTGGTATTGGATCTTTACAAGCAGCTTTACAAGAACTTTTAACCACATTTTATAGCAAGTTCAACACCTAACCTAATATAAAGAACTTGCTCGCCTCCTATCAGAACCTAGCTATAGCTGGAAAATAACAACTACTAAAACATTAGAGGGATGATTGGTCAAGATACATAAAATGAAGTTTTGGGTATCCTTGGTAAGCCACTTCACTTCCTAACGTTTCAACTACCTCATCTGCAAACCCAGTAATGAGCATCATTCAACTCAGGGGATACATTCCAAGAAGTGCAAAGTAGACACTGGTTCTCTACATGGCACAGAATTTAGACTAAGATGGCACTGAGGTTTCCTAATGACAAAATCTAATCCTAATGACAACACCATAGTGAAATTTTGGTCCATCACTGACTGAAAGATCACTATGGGGCACAAAGCTGTGCTTTGTTCTCTGAGAGAAAGAATTCCCTCTGTGCTCTACCAGAGCCCCTTCGAAGGTTCAGAACTGTGGTCTGTGGTGTCAACAGGATGGAACTTGCTATGAAGACAGTGCATCTAACAAGGCTGCCTCCTAAAATTCCTCTGCAATTAAAAACAAACCTTCAAAGATAAGAAACAATGGACTTCACATACACATAATTCAAGGTGTATTTCTGCTATTTTAAACCTGAATTATCTTGAGATTGAATGTCCTACATACACAAGTGTAAAAATAAAACAAGCAACAACAAAAAAGAGTATGCACTCATATCCAACATTGAAGAACTTTACAAGAGAACAGAAGAAATCTTAGGGACTTACAGTATTGAGTGAAAAGAAAAGTTTCTGAACAGAGGTCAGGGATCAGAAAGTTACAGACTTACCTGTAGTAATACAAAAGCCAGACAGTAGACCATTGCCTTTGGTGCTGTGGGATGAATTCACTTCCTACTCAAATTCAACACCATCACTATTGTGGCTTAAATTTGAACTGTTCCCTAATGATGCAGATCTTGAAGGCTTGAGGAAAGGTTGCTGGGTTGGAAAGGTGCCAACTTCATCAATGGATCACTCTTAATATGTTTATAGCTGAATGGACTATTAGGAAGTAGTGCCTGGTTGTAGGAAATTAATCACTGGGGGGGGACACCTTTGAAAGATATATCATAAGATATATCATGTCCCCTATAAAAAGATATATCATTTTTTTCTTACTCTCACTGTTTCCAGTTGCCAGGATGTATAAATATTTTATAAAGTGAGCCTATTAGCTGTTTATCTAGTCTAAATTATGCTGTAACTATTGAGAAAATAGGGCATCTGAATAATGCATTTACTTAGAGAAAGATGGGAACAAGCTGGCAATAGCCAGTAGAGCTAATTATCATCCTTACCTAGTGGGAAATCTATGGAGAATATTCTCTAGGAAAATGAAGAATTAAGCAACTTAAGCTAGAGGTAAAAGTGAGGGGGAAAAAGAATAAAAGCATTGAAAGTTACTGTTTCTAGGGAAAAGAAAGTAGAGGGTGGGGTTGTGAGAACTGTTTTTCATAACAAACTTGTACCATTTGACTCTTCAACATTAACATAGGTAAGCTAGAGTTAAAATAGTAATCAAAAGTTACAGCACAGTAGAATACACTACCAAAATGAATCAGAACATTTGTCTCTTCAGAAAGTATTTGAAAGGCTAGAATATGGAAATTATATGGAGACTTATTTCATTTCTGCTATATTTGGTGGCATATAGATTGATCTACAATATCAGCTGATTACTTCTGAAGGTAATCAAATAATACAAAATTGTGAAGTTGAGTCCACAGAGAAATAGGCCTAATTCCCCACATAGATATGCTGCAAACTAAACTATATATATGTATATACATATATATGTATATAGTTTATATATATACACACACATATATATACACATATACATATACATATATATATATATATGTATATATATAGTACATAACTATGACCATGTGGGTTATCATTCAAACTTTAGTCTATCTCTTAATTTGAGGAGATACAGAGAGACATCTTCAAGAGAAAAGGCTCTTTGTCTTGTAATCCAATAGTTTTAGTATTTTAAAAAATGTTATAGTCAGTGTTCTTTGTCCGTTCCCACGACAAGAGTACTTCATACATGTCCCCTGTGGTCTGTCAGCTAGATGACCAGTTCTGCCCAGTGTGTTGAAAGTGTAGGTAATTAATATGTATTGTCACTGCAAAACCCTACATGTCTCTCTTTTTGCACTATGGACTACAGAGTTAACCAGCCAACCCAGGAAATGTAAACTTGAATCATGAATGAAGAGTGAAATTTTATTGATGAACCTTCTGAGGTTGATTATCAAAAGAAAACAGTACACAATTAGAAGGTGTGTGGGCCCATAACTGGAAATCTGTCTCCCTAGGGGCTATCCTGCCATAAGAAGAGTCACCAGTACCTAAGTCATAGTACCTGCCCCCAGTATGCCTACTTTTCTTTCATTTCCAGCTTAGTTTTGCTACAGGGACATTCCATGACCTCCAAAAACTCAAAATAGTTTTCCTTTAATTCCTTATTATGAGTGCCTTATATAAGTAACTGGTTTTAATTAAATTAAAGACAAGCCTTATTTTGGGCCACCATGCCTTTAAACTATGTAGTGTCTTTCAGAATACAAGACTCCATTTAAAGTGGTCTGACACAAAGAGATTGTTATCAATTAGAAAAAGGCTAAATAAGCAGAAGACAGACATACCCAAAGATTAACATGACAATATAAGTGTGGTGAGATCTGCCTTAGTGCCATTTTGAAAGTGCTTTTAAAATTGGTATAGATACTTACTTCATATCCTTTATATGCATCACATGCATCATTGAAAGCCTTTGCATGGGCTATCTTTTTTAGTTTATGGTGCATTGTATTTTTTGAAATACTTTGTAAAGGCAAAAAAAAAAAAAAAAAAAGTACCTGGTACCTACCATAGTACCAGGCATGGTAATGCCTGCCTCCCAGCGCTCTGGAGGCAGAGGCTAGCCTAGGCTACAGGTTGAACTGCGTAGGATGACTCTGCATCAAAATAAATATATATACCAAAAAAAGAAAGAAAGAAAAGAAAAAACCCATGACTTTGAGCATTGTTATTTAAAGAGGATTTCCCTTCTCCTTTCTCTAAGTACCTGGAAGGCTTACCTCATTAAATTTAATTTTAATTAAATTCTGTTTGTTGTTGCTGATGGTAGTGTTGGTGGTCTTGAAGACAAAAATGCAATATTTTAACGTTAATTTTTTGCCTTATTTTGCATAATGATATTCAGTACTTACTAGAAATTTTTTTGTTGATCATCTGTTAACTGTTAAATGAGTTTTTGCTTTTTCAACGATATTGTACAATTGTCATTTTTTTCTAAGAATTCCTTTGCTAAGTTTAAAGGATGAAGAAAATAGTAAAAGGAAAATTCTAAAATTAAAATATCAGCCAATCGTAATTTTTAAATTCTTTGTGAACTGCAAGGTGTTTTGTAATGTTTGTGATAATGTCTCCAAAGATCTAAATGTATCCATGATTCAGGGTCCTCTACAAACATGACGTCAAAGTGTCTGCACTGCACAGGTCTATGGTTAGATAACCCAACCACTGAGAGCATGGGGCAATTTTCAGGGGTGCTTGTCCTGGGTGTTGATGTACTTTGGTAATTTAATAGAATTTAAGTTTTATAATATGTGTTAATTCATTGGTGTAGTCTTGTTATGACACAGTAACAATAGCAACAAGTAAATGAAGATAAACTTAAAAGATGACTCTTAGTTACCTCCAGAAGTAGAGC